TGCAGGAAGTATGTTATAGATCATCTGGGATGATGAAATGAACACCTGCACTAGCAGCCAACCTACTTTTAAACCCATTAAAAGGCAAGTTGGTTTGCTTGGCAGTATTTCTCCAGTGCAGACACATTTTTGTTGAACATCTTAAGCCTAGACTTGCTTTTACATACAATTAGGGTTTATCTGCATGCAACCTCAAAGAAGGGGAGGGTTGGGAGCATTCAACAGAATCGGATGTATATTTTCAAATGGTAAAACAATAAAATTGAAATCCATCTCTCTCCCATTAGGCACATGGGAAATATTGTAAAGACTTTACAGACCGTAGGGCTGCTGAGACATTCATATCTGACTTGTCTGTTGCTAAAATTGTTCTCAAAGTGGACACAATCTGTTCAGCCTGTCCTCTGCTAGCTAATGTGCCATCATTACTCCTAGAAACTTTAGCTCCTTCACTCTGATTACACCGGCAGAGATACAAACAGATAAAAGATAAGACTACATTCCAAAGATAAAGGCCAAATACCGTTTAGCAGGAGTAAGGATGAATTAATGTTCTTACAGCACTCCGTAATTGTCCAACAGATTATTTTACACCTTTCTCAGAACTGCTCTTGGTATGGGCTGACATCAAACGTTTTTTTCCTAAAATTAAAGGAATTATAGGCTATGAAATTTTCCTTCTATTATTTCTCAGAACTAAGAGCAAATGGAATATTTTACAGTTTGCCTTTGCACCCTGGGATTACTAAAATCTGTACGAAGCCACGCAACAGTAACTCACAGTACTTTTCTGTAAGTATGACTGAGGTCTACCCTGGATTTTCTGTCTTTGAGGAACTAATCTTCCTCTGACTTCTTTGCCTCCTCCCCTTTGCTCTCAGATCTTGTTGGCAATTCTGGCTTTTGCACAATTAAAGAGCGTATGCAGTTTAAAGAATTTCAGTGCAGGATGTGCATACATCAATGTATGATACCACTTTCTCAGCTTTCAGTGGAAGGTGAAGTAAAAGTGAAAACACAACTATTTCAGCATACAATCCATAGAGAAATGATTTTGCTGTACCTCGATCTCCCCCATATTCTAGGCACCAACACGCTATAAATAAACCCTGACAGACACAGACGGATTATTCATAACCTTGCCAATTTTTGTGGCCATTTATGTTAGTGTGAGTTGAGCGCAAACCATTCCTGGGTTCACAGTTCTCCTGGTGTATACCCTGGTGACACCATTTTGTTTCTACCATGCAATTCCTGAAGCCCTACTGTGGGCCAGAGCACTCAACTTCTGAGGCTTCTAAGAACATCCCCATGACACCAACTGGATGAAGCAGATCTTTTCCTAAAGAATATAAACCCTCCTCTCAAGTAGTTGGTACTGCCACATATCAGTGAGAGGAAACGAAGCTGACCTAAGGCCCTGCAGCTATCCTCTATGCCCCCAGGTTCTGCTTTGGAAAGGAGAAATGATAAACTCATGGACACTGTCTCGGTTTATTCCTACCACAGCTGCTCACGGCCTAAGAAAATTCACAAACAGAGGGACAGGCAAACATGGTATTTGCCCTGAAGACTTCTGCATACAAGCCTCTGACAAGAGAGACGATTACCCTGTGTGCCAGTGAACACTGTGTTTCCTGAACAGGCTTGGGATTTTTGAACAGAGGGGTGGGAAAGTTTGTATGCCATCAAGTTTTTCTGCTCTGTGGCAGAAGCGTTATTTTTACACTGACTACCATTAAAATCTTTGCAAAAGTTTGGGCAGGGAGTAGAGCCCAGAATCTGCTTTTGGTATCTGCTATATCAAGGGCTGTTAAATGCCACAAAAACCAGGACCGTATTAGAGAGAAACCTTACAAAAGTGTCAAAATTTTAACGGTAATGCTTACACCTGAGCTAGTTGTTGCTGGGTCTTACACATCTGATCTTTCTGACAAGCAAAGCTTTCCAGTGCAGTTTCTCCCTCTCTCTCTCCTCGATCCCTTTTGTTATGCTATCAGTAGTCCAGATGATTGCAGCATTTAGTGGTTTTGCTAACAGACACTGTAGTGATCAGCACGACCTGGGGTGCTTTAAGCAGGTGCTGTTGCTCTGAATGAAGAGGGCATAGACATAGCGCTTACATCCTGAAGGCCATCTGGACGTCTTCCTTGATGTGTGTTTATATGCTATATGGTCCATCAGGCACCGAAAGAATTTAGCTAAATTCCAATATTTCACAGGATCAGACTGTACTCTGAATGCAGTTAAGTACTCTAGCCTCAGAGAATCTCTTTAGCATTAAGTACATTTGAAACTGTCTTTGGTCATTTCCTAAATCCTTTCTTTCCTCTCTGTTATGGGTGACATGGCTACATGTAGTTTTGTAATGAGCCAGAGGGCTCTTCACTGAAAGCACAAAGGATTCTTGAATGGTAATAGAGCTGGAAGACTTTGTACACAAAAGAAAGCATCTGCCTCAGCAGAAAAAAGAAAGCAGGACTACCTAGAGCCCCCTTTTGTTTGGTATGGTAGTGACCACTGTGTGTAATTCGATTACTTTGGGTACACAAGAGTGTACTCAGTACTACAAGAGATTGTACCAGTGAACAGAGTTTTTCAATAGTAAAAATAAGAAAAATCAACCACTAAATAGCAGAGGGTGATGTCTGTGTAGAAAGATTTTAAGTCCAGCACACATTCATGTTCAACAGGAACTCAACATACTTCACCATTTCCCAAAGGTCAAGCTGCTAGAGACTTTTCAATTCCTACATACCCCATGGCCTGAGCACTTGCTCTCTAGACAATTCCCCAGATGACTAGTGCGTCTTGTTACAACTTGCTCATGTTAGTTTTATATCAGTTGGAGAGAAAATGAAGTTCTTCATTTAAGCACAAGGTAAGCATGTAACAGAAGAGCCACCGCAGCTCATCTTGAAGCTCTTCAATCACCTTCTGGAATAAAAGTCAACTCTCTTTTTCAGAAATTATGTAACCCATAGACATTAGGTATGATCACCAACTCTTCTACAGATCAGCTACTCCATCAACATTTTCTATTAGCTCGCTCTGCCGGTACTATATTTGAATCAGTGCCCTAAAGATGGAAAATTACTCTACAGTAGCAAATTGACCAGTGACCATTCTGAGGTGCAACCTGACCCCCTCTGTTTAAATCAGGCCCCTGTATCCCATTACAATATCCCCGGTAACATCTACCTGCTTTTTATCTCTTCTTATTTCCAGTTCCGTATTTAACAGAAAGAAGTGCTACCGTCACTATGACTGTATACGATGGGCACTGTCTAATTAAAAGCGGGAAGTCCCTTATTTCATTCATGTGCCAATCAGAGATTGCATTTCAACTCCCTTTGCTCTTACACTGGTATATAAAAGGTTGCCCCTGCACACTTCTCAATGCGCAGTTTTCTGCTTACCTGAGAGGTTCAGGGACATGCATATTTATTTTGGTGTGCCCCAGGGGTCAGTCCTGGGTCCAGTCTTGTTCAATATATTCATCAATGACCTGGAGGAAGGGACAGAGTGCACCCTCAGCAAGTTTGCTGATGATACTAAACTGGGGGAGAGAGGCTAACACACCAGAAGACTGTGCTGCCATTCAGAGGGACCTGGAGAGGCTGGAGAGCTGGGTGGAGAGGAACCTCCTGAAGTTCAACAAAGGCAAGTGCAGGGTCTTGCACCTAGGGAGAAATAATCCCAGGCACCAGTACAGGCTGGGGGTTGACCTGCTGGAAAGCAGCTCTGCCGAGAAGGACCTGGGAGTGCTGGTGGACAACAAGTTAAACATGAGCCAGCAATGCTCCCTTGTGGCCAAGAAGGCCAACGGGATCCTGGGGTGCATTAGGCAGAGTGTTGCCAGCAGGTCGAGGGAGGTGATCCTGCCCCTCCTCCTCAGCCCTGGTGAGGCCTCACCTGGAGTGCTGTGTCCAGTTCTGGGCTCCCCAGTACAAGAGAGACATGGCACTCCTGGAGAGAGTCCAGCGGAGGGCTACCAAGATGATTAGAGGGCTGGAGCACCTCTCCTATGAAGAAAGAC